TGCCCCATCCAACTTTTGGACCCACTCAAGATGTTTCCAGTGGCTTTTCCATATGAATAGCCTGTCTTGGCTCATGCTTCAGACATTTCTAAAATCTATCAAGCAAGCAGCATTTGGCCTTGGTGTGCCCCATAACTCTCACTAACTAGCCCTAGGCCTGGCATCAGTGGCAGCCAGACTCAGTTCGCAGCTTGGCCCCTCCTGGGCATCTCCAAGCCCAGCACAAGTAGCAGTCATCTGCAGATCTCTTTGTAGCTCATGTGGGGTGGCCTGGGCAAAACATAGGCAGTGGCTGACCTTGGTCTGTACCTTCCTAGAGGTTCCATAGCCAGCACACCCTGTGCACAGCTTCAAACCATATTGAAGCACCACCCAATCTTCTCCACAAGTGACACACTCAAGGGGGGCCGGGGGGAACCTGAGGGCACCAGCGCTCTGCTGAAGTAAGTCCTGTTCCATGGGGTGGGCAGATATCCTCCACAGTAGTCGCAGCCAGTCCTTGCAGCTGACTGGCCTGGGGGTAAATCCCTCCCATTGACTGCCAACAGCAATCAATGCTCAACTACAACAGGAGGGTGTACATGGCCTACACAGGGTGAGGGATATGGGGGCACCTGGAGTGCACAGCTTGGGTGAATGGGGAGGCTGTGCCATTGGATCTACAGGACACCTACTACATAAGGCCACTCTACCAAGCCTGGGAGACCTAGCAGCTCTACTTAACACATAGAAGCGAACACAGGGAGGCTGCCAAAATGAGGAGACAAGGAAACATGTCCCAAATGAAAAAACAGAACAAAACTTGAGGAAAAGAACTAAAAAAAAAAAAATGGAATCATGCAGAGTTCTAAATACTGGTTACAAGGACACTCAATAAACTTAGGGAAGAGTAATGAAGGTAGAGCAAACCTCAGCAGCATTAAAAAGGACATGGAAACCATAAAAAAGAACCAGTCAGAAATGAAGGATACACTAATTGAAATGAATACTAATTTACAGGGAATCAACAGTGAAATAGAGGAAGCCAAGAATCATATCAGCAATTTGGAATATAAGGAAGCAAAAAACACCCAATCAGAACAGCAAAAACAAAGAAGATTTTTTTTTTAAAAAAATGAGTATAGTGTAAGGACAACTTCAAGTGCACCAGCACTTGCCTCCTGGGGATGCTGGAAGGAGAACAGAGAGAGAGAGAGCAAGAAATTGAAAACCTGTTTGAAAAAATAATGACAGAAAAGTTCCCTAATCTGGTGAAGGAAATAGACATACAAGTCCAGTAGACACAGAGTCCCAAACAAGATGAACCCAAAGAGGCCCACACTAGGACATATTATAATTAAAATTCAAAAGGTTAAAGACAAAGAGAGAATCTTAAAAGTAGCAAGAGAAAAACAGTTACCTACACAGGAGTTCCTATAACACTGTCAGCTGATTTCTCAACAGAAACTTTGTAGGCCAAAAGGGATTGGCAAGAAATATTCAAAATGATGAAAAGCAAAGACCTACAACGAAGACTATTTTACCCAGCAAAGCTATCATTTAGTATTGAAGGACAGATAAAAAGCTTCCCAGACAAGAAATGTTCTTTAAGAAGAAGAAGAAGTACCTACAACCAAGATTACTTTACCCAGCAAAGCTATCATTCAGAATTGAAGATCAGATAAAGAGCTTCACAGATAAGAAAAAGCTAAAGGAGTTCATCACCACCAAACCTGTATTATATAAAATGCTGAAAGGTATCCTTTAAGAAGAGGAAGAAGAAGAAAATGGTAAAGATAAAAATTATGAACAACAAATACATATCTATCAACAAGTGAATCTAAAAATCAAGTGAATAAATAATCTAATGAGCAGAATAAACTGGTGAATATAATAGAATCAGGGGCATAGAAAGGGAGTGGACTGACAATTCTCAGGGGAAAGGGGTGTGGGGGGTGCGGGAAGAGACTGGACAAAAATCGTACACCTATGGATGAGGACAGTGGGGAGGGGGTAAGGGCAGAGGGTGGGGTGGGAACTGTGTGGAGGGGAGCTTTGGGGGGAAAAAGAGGAACAACTGTAATAATCTGAACAATAAAGATTTAATTTAAAGAAGAAGAAGGAGAAGGAGGAGGAGGAGGAGGCAGAGGAGGAGGAGGAGAGCCCTAGCCAGTTTGGCTCAGTGAATACAGTGTCAGTCTATGGACTGAAGGGTCCCAGGTTAGATTCCTGGTCAAGGACACGTACCTCGGTTGCAGACTTGGTCCACAGCCCTGGTTGGGGTGGGTATGAGGGCAGCCAATCGAAGTGTCTCTCTCGCATCAATATTTCTCTGTCTCCATCTCTCCTCCTTCCTTCCACTCTCTAAAAATCAATGGAAAAAATATCCTTGGGTGAGGATTAACAAAAAAAAAAAAGAGAGAGAAGAAAACTATTAAAATATGAACAATAAAATGGCAATAAATACACATTTACCAAAAATTGAACCTAAAAAAATAAACAAATAAGCAGAATAGAACATTTTGATGGTTGTTAGATGGGAGGAGGGTTGGGGGACTAAGTGAAAAAAGCAAAGGGATTAAGAAGTAAAAATGGGTAGTCACTAACTAGTCATGGGATGGAAAGTACAGCATAGGGAATATAGTCAGTAATATTCTAATAACTATGTATGGCGGCAGATGGGTACAAGTTTATTGGGATGATCACTTAGTAAGTTGTACAATGTCTAATCACTGGCAAGTACACCTGAAACTAGTGTAATATTGTACTAGTATGTCAATTGTAACTGAAAAATAAAAGAGAGAGAGAGACAGAAGCCTGGGGTAATAGAACACCAAACTGGAAACCAACAAACCCAAGTTCTCCTGCGAGCTCTGTGACCTTGGGCAAGTCACCTAGGCTTCCGTGTCCCCACTGTAAAATGGAGGCTTTCCATGCACTTGCTGGGGCTCCTTACGGCTCTCAGGTTCAGGTATTGTTTATGTGCAGGAGGAGATAAGGAACACACTTTCCTCCAAAGAGTAGCTGCAACTTGAGTAAAAATGAGAGGCTGGTGAGGAAACAGTAAAATACTTCAAAAGCAGAGGGTTGCCAAGCTCAGCCATGAACCTCAAAGCCAAGCTTCGTTGGTTCCTTGTGAGTCAGCAGTGCTGCCAACAGCCTCATCCTTTTGAACAGCTTTGGGGGTTTTCTCTTCCTGTTTTACCTTGATTACATTTCCAGCAGATTGAACCAGAATATCTTGACCTCTTGGGGGTAGGGTTGGGGAGTCTGCTCAACCTTGAACTCAGCGCTGCAGGCAGGCAGTAATCAATAGCTGCAGTTTAACCTTTACTCTCTGCCTTACAGCAGCGCATCTGACTCAGAGTCCACCCAGGTCCCAGGCCTGTGGCTAAGAGCTCTTTTCAGGGAGGCCCAGGAGGTTCTGAGGCTTTGCCCTTCTCCCAATCCCCCCAAATGCACACTTTCCCCTCCTCCAGCACCTGCTCTCTCTACCGTCCCCCAGCCAGCAGTGACCAGGGACTCTCCAGCCACCTTTCCAGGCTTGGCATTGCCGTAGCACTGCACTGACTCGTGTCACAAGGCAGCAGGGATTTGAGAGAAGGGAGAAGTGGACCATACAGGGGGACACTAAGACCATCAGAACTTCTGGAGTCATCTTGGTGGTCTGCTTCACATTGCAGCTGGGAACCGAGGGGCTGGTATCTCTAAAGCCATACAATCAGCTGGTGGCCGAGATGAAACTGGAAGCAGGTTTCTTAATTCCCAGTCGGCACCAGCCCCACCGGATTCATTACATTATCTCCCTCCTTGCTCTCAGTGGAATCATGCATAGATTTTAAGACATGTAGATTGCTTTATAAGGCTTTGAATACCCAAGGAAATAGTCAAGGGAAATGAGAGCTTGGATGTCATCTTCCAATGTCCCTGAGGCCCCCAACCTGAAGTGTTTATTCTCCAAACTTTACCTCTGTTTGTGCCCCCCACAGGATACTTCCGTTTCAAAAAGGCAGTATCTGAACCTGGTCCATCTGGGTCTGATCTCTCTCTATATGTAAGAGAACTTGTCTGCTCCCTTAATAAACCAGGTCCATTCCTTCAAAAGGAGAATCCTGATTAGACTGACACCCGCCCTCCCCATGGGGATCAATGCTGAAAACACAGCCACTCCCCAACAGTGGCTCCTTATTCTCAACTGATCCAACCCAGACACAACATATTTCAATTTCCTGTAGTTCAGCAAAGAATCAGGCCAAGACATTTAAACAGGGCCCCTCAGCAGCTTAGGTCGGCGGGGGAGAATAACATGAGACCAGATAGAGGCTCATAAAGTCCAAGTCCCTGGCTTTCAGTGGGGAAGGGGGTACCCTGGGGATAAGGGTACTGTGTTGGGGGGTAGTGTTCTCTATTTCCCGGAGCCTCTGTGAGAGCCTGGACTATCTTCACTTTTCTCTGTTCAAACTGTTTGTGCTCTGGGCTTCTCCCAATACCTTTTCCTGCTTGGTTCACCTGCTGACTTATCTAGCTAGAGCTGTGAACCTGTGTTGTGGTAGACCTTCCAGCCTGTTCCTAGCTCTGCACTCAGTCTCAAAGCCCATTCCTCCTCCTCACCCCAGGGGGTGACAAACACCAGGCATGTAGCAGGCACTGAGTAAATATTGGTGCCAGACTACAATATGGTAGGATCCCATGGCCAGATGAAATTGGGTCATTTAAACAAACAGGCAAAGGAAAAGAAAAACTAAATGATGGCACACTCATTTAGTAACCAGTCCCAGGTTACATTCCTCCAGTCCTGTAACCAAGGCTATTCAATGAATGTAGAACAGCATGTGAGAACCACCAGTGAGACTGGCCGGCTTTCAAGGAAGCTCAGCACTCATGCTATGAAGCTGCTCACTTCTCCTGTAGCCCCACGTGAAAGCCATGTGGGTATGAATGTTGGAGGTGGGGGTGGAGAGGCATGAAAGAACAAGAAACTTTATGCAACCTAAAGAAGGGACAAGGACAAGCACTCGGGTTTTTTCTTTTAATTATTTACCAGATAAAAAAGAAAAAATAGTGATTGTATCTCTTCCCTCCCAACATTTCAGTTGACCCAGGTCCAGTGGGAGAGACATTTGTTGAAAGGTGATTTGAGCTCCTGGCCTGGGGCAAACTCTTCCCCTCGCCTGCACCACCTCAGGTGGGGGGCCAGGGGCGGCTCCAGGCAGGACTTGCATGGTGGCAGCAAAGTGGCAGTGTGGCTGTCATCCTCTTCTCCCTGTTGCCACAGCATTCAGACTCCCTCCTGTCTGTCCCACTACGCCATCCTCCCCCATTCATCAAAGGAGTAGGAAGATGGGGCTCGAGGAGGCAGGGACAGGTGGAGAGCAGGACTGGGAGGCACGTAGCAGATCCAACAGAAGGCCCTGATCTTCTGCTTCTATTGCACAGCCTGGCTTAGGTCCCCTGCCCTGAGCAGTGGGCACAGAGCAAAATGCTACTGAAATTCACAAAACCTGTTGTTGTGCCGGGCTCAAGGAGGGGAGGTGTGCTGCTTCTGAAATTCAAAGAACCTGTTGTTGTGCCGGGCTCAAGGAGGGGAGGTGTGTTGTTGTGTGGCTTGTTCTGATATATGTGTCTCCTTTAAGTTATTCCATAATGGGCAAGGCAGATTATGCCTCTTTAAAAAGCATACGGGATTTGGACACCTGGGGCCCTGCAGTCACCTGGGCTTCTCCCTTTCAAGTTCAAAAGTCCAAGAATAACCCTTTCTCCAGCCAGATCTTCTCCTGCTTAGAAGAGGCAACAGCGACCACCACCACACAAGCTCCCTCCACATGTCATGCTTCTCAGCCACTCAGGGTGACCTCTTTTTCTGAACACCTGGAGAATTTGACAAATGACCCTAGAAAAGAACCTTTTACACTGTATGTTTCTGCATAAAGTGGCAGCTGTTTGATTCTCATTCTTCTCTTTACCAATGAAAGAAGAGTGGGACTGGATCAAGTTCCTTAACTGACCTTACAGACAGAATACATTCCTCTAAGAAACAGTGGGGGTGGGGGGAGAAGACTGATTTTGATTTAGCAAAGCTGCAAAACTTTCACCTCCATTGGTGGGTAAAGACAAACCTAACTGAGCCAATGGCAAGAACTGCAGGCTATGAGAGACGACAGGGCAAACACAGAACTGTATAAATTGTGGCACTATAAAGATGACAAGGCAAGTCCACGATGCCAGCTGGGAGCAGGCCTCTGAAGCACGCGTCCAGAAACGATCTGTCCTGTAGTACGTGGCAGCATCCAGATAAATCAGAGCGGCTCTCCTTCCTCCTCTGAGGGTTTCCCATTTAAATAACTATGTACACACATACAAGCCGGTCTCTCTTTTATAGGAAGGTCCTTCACTTGAGGGTCAAACAATGGCTTAGAGAGTCGGTTCCAATTGCCTTTTTGGAGATTTCCTGCTTGGGACCAAACCTGCAAGGAGAAAAAATGATGAACATGATACCAGGAAGACCTTTAAGATGGAAGCATCCCAGTGTGAAGGCACTGAGTCCTAATACACACAAGAAACCCGCAGCTCCCTTACCGGGCTCTGGGACCCTGGCAACTAAGTAACTGGGCTGGGACTCATCAACCCTGTGGGGCTCTGGTCAGCCAGGGGGCCCCAGGCCCACCAGCAACCCTGGGAATACAGCTCCATACCTCCATCTGATAAGGACAGTTTCTCAAGTTCAGCTTCAAGTTCAGCGTCCGAGATCCTAGGGATAGGCACACTGTTGGTATAAAACAACTCATGGGGGTTGTCGGGCAGATCCAAAGGTTCTTTGGTGGTATCCTGAAGAAGGATGTCCAATTCCTTCTCTAGTTCCTCATTGTCAAAATCTGTAAAGGAAAGACAATATGAGGACATATACTGTCCAGGGAGAAAATGCATTTAGGAGTCAAGGACTGAGACCAGCACAACTCAGCTCAGCTTTACCAAGGAAGTCCAAGCCTGCTCTGGCTGGGTGGCTCAGTTGGTTGGAGCATTGTCCCATATACCAAAAGGCTGTGGGTTCAGTCCCTGGTTGAGGTGCATGCAAGAGGCAACCGATTGATATTTCTCTCTTACATCGATGTTTCTCTTTCTCTCTTTCTCTCTCTCTCTCTCAATCTCGCTCTTCCTTCTTCTTTCTAAATATATCCTTGGGGTGAGGCTTTAAAAAAAAAGTCCAGGCCTCCTTGCAGGAAAAAGAAAAAATCATGTGGCTGGCTGGTATGTCGATTGTCGGCTCGATCCCCAGTAGGGGCATGCAGGAGGCAGCCAATCAACGTTTCTCTCTCTCCCTCTCCCTTCCTCTCTCTCTAAAATCAATAAAACATATTTTTTAAAAAGAAGGTGTATTTTGCTAACCCCACAGAACTGACCCTGCTTCCTCCTGCCTGTGAAGGAGCATCTTCCTAGTCAGTAAGGGGCGCTGGAGCACAGCGGGAGGAACTGACAACTCCTCCCGAGTAGTCTGTGAATAAGCCTCAGGGAGAGGGCAGGGAAGGAGAGCCCTGCCTGCACCAGGAAGGCATATCCATGACCAAACCTACCCAAGTACAAGGGAATGAAGTCCTCTTAGGAAGGAAGAACGAACGAACCACAGTGTCCACTCACCTAAGCCATTGGTTACCCCACCAGCCAGAGTCTGAGAAACTTCATCCTGGGTGTCACACAGCTGTAAGGGAAAAGCACAGGCCTTGAACTCTGAGTGATATCTCTTTGGGTCTCAGTGTTCAGGGTTGCAAAGTAATGCTATCTCATCTGAAAATCAAGGAAGGCTTCCTCAAGTTCACAAGAGAGAGAGGCCAGCCTGGGGAAAGAGGAAACGAGAGAGTCCCATCTGCCCTCAGGACTGCCTTCTGCAGAGTCCCTCCCAGCACCTTCCCGCACCTCCTGAATCTGGTCCACGAGGCTCTCCGCCTTCTCCACTGTGACATCCTTCATGGAGAGTTTTAGGGCTCCTACCCCAGCCTGATAAGCGTTGAAAACCTAAGGAGAAAGCAGTTATTAATGCAAATGAAGAACACTGGACAAAATACATACAATGTTGTTTCTCTCCAAAGGATAGCTTTGGGGTCTGAAGGTTGTGGGTTATTGTTAAGCTGATTAACATTGCTTCATCTCCGAAGAACAGCTTGGGTGTTTTTTTGCTACCCACGGCTTGATTCACCCCACATCCCCTGGAGCCAAAGCTTCCCAACAAAAGAGGCTCAGGCAGCCATATCCTTAAAGAACCCAGGCCTCCTCCAAACAGCAGAGCTGCAGGGGAGGGGATGAGAGGGTGCCGGATGGACCAGACAAGTGCTGGGGCAGCGGGGCAGTGGCTACCATCTGATCCGTCTGGGAGGCATAGATCCGGTCCAGGATGCCTTGAACAGTGTCCAGCTTGGCATGCAGGGCCTCAATGCGCTTCTCTGTCCGCTGTTTGGCTTTGAGAGACCTCAGTGCCTAGGGGAGCATGGAGACTTGGTCAGACTGGGCAGAACGAAGGGCCAGAGGAAGACAGCTGTTCCCAGATGCTAAGACCATCCCAGGCCTCCTTCCCTCTCATTTGTAAAATAAGCTGTGGTGCCTGGGCCACCCTCTCTGACTGCTGAGGCACCTGTCACTGCCAGCCCAGGGCGCAGGTACACAGCTGGGGGGGAAAGAGAAAACTTACCAGTTGCTTCTTTCCTGTTCGGCATGCTCGGCGGGCTTCTTCCTTACACCTATGAAGCAAAGGGACAGAGTGGGATGACAATGCATAGGATGGGGTGGAGGTACCTCCAGACCTGAAGATCCATACATTCCACCCAATAGCAAGAAAAATGATGCCCGACAGCTCACTGCCAAACTCTTGCAAGTTGAGAAATAAGCTCGAGAACCCACAGGGGGAGAGAGCATGTCAACAAGGCCTCTGAGAGCCAGGAGTTCGGAAATAGATATCTAACACCAACGACGACTTTGGACACATCCCGTGGGTTTCTCCCAGGTAAGATGGAGTGAACAAGTACATCTTAATCCAGTGTCTATAAATCCTACTTTTTAGAGAAGTGTTCTGTGGCACAGATGCCTTGTACGGTCATGGTCATGCGAGGGGAAGAGCAGGAGTCCCTCAGACACCTCTCAAAGGCAGAGACTTGTCTCATTCACTATTGTATCCAAGTCCTCAAGACAAGGCCTAGCTCAAAAAATATTGGGTAAATGGATACTGGTGTGGGAGAGCATAAACATAATGTGATTGGTCATAATCTTTGGAGGAAGACTTAAAATTCATTTTTTCTCCTTTGTGATATTCTGTGCAGTGAGTAGTTTTGTAATTAACAACAACAACAACAAAAGATAACCCTTTTATTTTAAAGAGCCCACAGACACCAATTCTTTGCTGGCTGTGGGCAGCAGGGTGGGTTGGGGCAGTCGGCTCAGGGGTAGTTACCTCTCTGCTTCCTGGGATAAGGACTCCACTTTGCGCGAGAGCAGCTGTTCACTCTGCATCAGCTGGTACACCCCAACATCTACGTCGTTGACAGGAGAGACCTTGGCATGTGGCCCCCGGGCAAACTTTACAATCTAAGGGACAGGGACAAATTACTGCCGCCCCTCCCACAAATGCTGAGACATCCCCAGGCAGGAATGCTGGTGGCATGTCTGCACATCCTCAATGAGTCATCGGGGAGTCAGTGAGTGAACAGCTGAACTCCATACCTTTTCCCCATTCTGCTCGAGGACTGTGACTCTCTTCTCTTTCTGTAGCTGCAGCAACACCAAGTAGAAGGTCCTCTCGTCGGGACAGGGGCCCACACAGAGGGTGCTCAGCTCCGACAGGGCCACCACAGGGTGGGAGGAGAGAGGGGAGTTCTGATACAGACGATACACCTCCTCAGCCTTCTCCTGCAGGGAAAGCAAAACATGCTCACAGGCCTGACCACCACCCACAGAAGCCAGTGAGCCCTGACCCCCTGCTTCCAAACAACAATCACTTAGGGCAAAAGCAGAGGGTGCCATACTGTCTTCCCTAAAGTGGCAGCTTTGGAAAAGAAACAGGATTCGTGTTTTTTAAATGCTGGAGGAGTTTGGTGAATACGGATGAAATGAGGTACATGATATACTGGAAGCCAGCGCTATGCTTGCACCTCATCTGGGACTTTATGTTTAGGTGTCTCCCTGGCTCATGGTTCCCCAAGGGAAGAATGAGCAGTGCGGTGGGGTGGAATGGCCAGGAACGACAGCTGATGCCTGGTTTCAGCCCAGCCTGTGCAACCCCAAACCAGTCAGTCTCACTGGTGCTCAGCATCCCGCTCACAAACTGAAGGCCTCTAAATTCCCTTCCAATCTTGGTCTGTCCGTTTGTATGCCAACTAGCAATACTGCAAATGAGAACATTATTGTTCTCAAGAGAGAAGTATGAGACAAAGAGGTAGGACAGGGTTTTTGCGAGAAGTCTAAGAAATAATGCCCCTGTGTTCCTCCTACATGCAAATTACTCTCTCAGTCTTCTGCACACCAGAAATATTTACTGAGGTATTCACAGAACACTGTGAAAATATAGGGAGGGAATATCCAGGAATTTGGGAGGAGAGAGGAGAGTTCTGATACAGATGAGGTTGATATAGGAGGTCGTTTGGCAACAAATGGTTGTTGCAGGGTGCGTGAGTTTCTAGGTGAAGCAAATGGGCTGGGCATTTCAGGAAGGAGGGTGATCAAGAGCAATGGCACGAAGGCTGAGTCAACATGGTATTTATAGGTCAGATGGGAAGGGGAAAGAGTAGAAGCTCTTCCATCTTGTACAAGTGTAGTATCTCCTATGCTGTCCTTCATTTGGCAGATGGTGGGGAGTCAGTGAAGGGAAATGACATGGTTAGATTAACAGAGATCTAGCTGACAACTGGGAAAGGATGGGTTGTAGGAGTTAGGCTTAGAGGAAGGGGAAACATTTAAGCAAGAGGATATGAGGGACTGAACAGAGACAGAGAAAGGATGGATTCAAACAACATTTAGAAGATAAAGCTGGCAGGCCATGGTAACTGGGTGTGAAGTCTAGCAGGACTCCTTGGGTTCTGGCTTGAGTGACTGGGTCAATGTGATCCTATTAGTTAATAGCAAGAATACAGGAGTAGAAAACATCTACACTAATAAAAGAGAAACATGGTAATTAGCGTACGACCGCTACCCTTTTCATTGGCTAATCAGTGAGTATATGCAAATTAACTGTCAGCCAAGATGGCGGTTAATTTGCATATACCG